AAGTGTGGTGTTGGGGGGGGGGGAAGTGTACCGGCGGGTGAGCTCGGGGCAGGGTGCCGCCAAAGGGATCCTTTGCCGCCGTTATTATTGGGACCACCGCCGCCGGTGCTGCCGCCGCCGCCTCCTCCCATCTCGTCCTCGTTGTCCTCCTCGAGCTTGGATTGGCTCTCCTCCCCGTTCTGGTGGTTTTTTGAGGTGGTCGTCGTGCAGGAGTAGGAGTAGGAGGAGTACCCGGGTCAACCAAGCCATCACCAAACGGGTGTAAGTAGGTTGCCCCGATATGCCGCGTGTGTGGTCGTAGTAAGGGAAAGGGAGGGCACCTCTTCGTCCTCGATGACGATGCGGGCGAGGGAGATGTATTCGAGCTCCGTCCAATACTTCATAATGTCGGCGAACGTGTTGAAGGTGTAGCGCCGCACCGTACCGCTACGCTCCGATATCCGGTCCTCGATCTCTCCGTGCCGCTCCAGGTGCATGGCCTCGTACGACGTCGAGTGCTACATTTACCAACGTGTCGTGTGTCGTGTTGCGCCGTGTGTCGTGTGATCAGCGCCGTGAAGAGAAAAGATGAGCTCTCTGGCCGCATGCGTGGAGTCGTGACCCCAGTAAGGCAAGGGATGGGGGGGTACCTCCTCTTGGCAGCCGACGAGCTTGAGCTTCCGGAGCACGTCGAGGAGGTCGTTGAGGCGACGCGAGAACACGCGCCGGTGGAACAGCGCCGACCTGAGTGCCGACACCACGACCACGACCACGACCACCACCAATGGATGAGCACACCCCCGGAAGGGCAACTGCATTCGTGCGTAGTGCATACACGTGCACGAGGGCTTTGGGGGAGAATGAAGAAGGAAGAGGAGGAGGTACTTGATCGCGACGGGCAGCTGGCGGATGGTGAGGTCGTCGGCCAGGCAATCCTCGAGGCCCGGAATCTTCTGGGTTTGGCCGATCACCTGTAGGTAGAGCTTCACCGGCATCCTGCCATTTAAGATATATATAAGTTATTTAAGATACATAAACATACAAAGACAGTTAGCAATGTGGGAGGAGGGGGTGTTGTACCGGCGGAGGAGATCCGACATGAGAAAGTGGCCCGGAGCCGAAGGGGTGGACGACGACGAAGATGAAGAGGATGACGACGACGATGAAGAGGAGGAGGAGGAGGAGGAGGATGTGGGAGCGCCGTAGGTGCAGGACCAGAGGAACTGGTGGAGCATCTTGACGCGGAGCATCTTGGGCTTGATGTAGCCGTAGCTGTAGGCCACCTGGAACGCTGTCTGCCGCGTGATCGGACCGCCCCGCCCCTCGGGCAGAGGCTCCAGGTCGGACGACGGCCCCACGCGCTCCACCTGGTGGCCCACCTCGCGCACCTCGATCACGTCCTTTTTGGGCGCCGCCATCGACCGGATCGTGATCTAGTACCGGCCCCGCAGTGAGCGCGTGCGCGTGCGCGGCTGTGTGTCGTGCGTGTGTCGCGTGTGTCGCGTGGTTCGGATGTGTGCGGTACCTCGCTTTCGCGGAGGTTGTTGATGTACTGCTGCACGAAGGGGTCGTTGGCGGTGAGGGGCGCGCTGAGGAGTAGCGTGAAGGTTCGCACCGCCCCGCTCAGCATGGGGATGCTGCACACCATTTTACATTCATTCATTTCACAGATGGGCGCAGCATCGTCGTCACGCGAGTTGTCAAAATGAAGTGGTCAGCTACAAGTGCTGCTGTTGCACGAGGAGCTCTGGCGAATCGGAAGCGAGGCGAAGGAAAGCGAACCTGACGTGGATGATGCTGCAGATCTGCTCCTTCTCGAGGCTGCGCACGATACGGCGGATGCTCTTCGAGTCCAGCTCGTACGGGTTGGCTTCCTCGTGGCTGCCTGCACGCGGGGTGAGGAGGAGGAGGCAACCCGTACATCGCATCACATCACACCACGCATGAGCGGCCTGCCAACCACATCCGGTAGGGGGGGGGCAGGGTGGGTACAGATGAGCCGGCGCAGGTGGCTTTGCACGAGGATCTTCTCCCGCGCCAGTTCGTCCATCAGGAACTGCCTCCGCTTCACGAACTGAATGGTCAGCGGCCTGCGCTTCTTGTGTGACGCCTGTGTGCGCAAGCCGTACGCGGATCAGTCTCCGTGTGTGTGTCGTGTGTGTCGTGTGCGTCGTGTGAGTCGTGTGTGTCGTGTGTGTCGTGTGTCGTGTGTCGCGCCGATACCCAGGTAGAGAGCTTCGGCTTGGCCGGTGTGGTCGCAGGGCTGGTTGATATGTTGGTCAGTTCGACCTCGCCGCCACCTCCGCCCCCAGAGGGACCAGGCTGCGAGGCATCAGAGTCGCCACTCGCCGCCACCTGCAGGTGCGACTCGGGCTCGTCGTTCTTCCGGCGCCGCTTTGCGGGCGTGGCCTTGTCGCCGTTCTTGCCCGCCGCGGGCTTCTTAGAAGTGGGCGGCTTGACCGAGGAGAGGGCCACGCTCTTCCGCTTCCGCCCGCCGGCAGCGGGCGTGCTCGCGGCGCCCTCCTCGACCTCGGAGCCCGCCCCGTCCTCATCGTCGTCCAGCAGGCTGTGCAGGTTTTGCACCAGCGTGCCCTGTTGCACCCCCCCCCATCAGTACGTGCCTACACGTGTTGTGTGCTGTGTGTTGGGTGTTACCTGGACGTAGTGGGCGGGGGAGATGAGGCGGTAGGTGACCTGGCGGCCCACGTTTTCGGGGATGGCCACCACCCCGTAGTACTTGGTGAGGTCGCGGCACCGGTTGCTGCAGTACTTGCGCCCCAGGCCCGACATACGGAACACCTCCTGGATATTTACACACACACACACACACACACACACACACACAATAGGTTGGTACGACAACTCGTCGTGGGTGTGACGCGTCAATCCAATGGGAGGGGGGCGTGCAGCTCTCCCTCGGCTGGGTGGTCTGGGTTGAACCAGTCCAAGCGCAGAAGAGAGAGAAAAAAAAGGAGATGACGTACGGTCTGAGTGAGCCCCTCGGCACCGCAGTCGTCGATGAGGCGGTAGATCTGATAGTCGACGGGCAGCTCGGAAACGAGCACCGTCTCGGTGTTCTCCGGCTCCTCGAGCTCCTGCGCCGCGACCTTCTCCTCCACGTCGGTCTTGTCTGTGCGCCAAACCAATCAAACCACACACACACACGACACACACACACACAACACACACACACATGGGGTGAGCCGAGCACCCGGTGATGGAGAGGCCTGGAATGAAAAGAATGGAATGTGGGTGGGGGGCGAACCTTTGAAGGGGTGGGAGAGGAGGCGGAGGCAGGGGCGAGGCTTGGAATCGATATTGACGCTAAAGTACTCCACGTGGCCGTTGGCCATGAGCTTCTTGCGCACCGTGGCCCACCGCATCCGGTGCTTCTTGCCCAGGTAGTTCTGTGCACCGGTGCGTCGCCGCCAGCGCCTGACCGTCAGCGCCTGCGCGGCGGAGAGCAGCGCGGAAGGGGGGAGGAGGTAAGGAGGTAATGAGGTGGTACCAGCATGCGGCGTAGGTCCTCCTCGACCAGCACCTGATCCTTGGCCGCCGCCAGCCGATCGCACACCACCCGCATCACCTTCTCGGGCACCACCAGGTCGCCTGCCAGGCACCGTCACGTCCCCCCACCCCCCCCGAGATGTGAGCCCATTCATCGTCTGAGAGGGGTAGTAAGTAGTAGAAAGGTAGGTTGGGAGAGTACTGGAGGCTTGTTCGTCGTCGCCTTCGGACTTGGCGTAGCGCGAGAGGTGGATGAGGTTGGTCTTGACGTTCATCTTGCCCTCCTTGAGCATCACGATCTGGCAGCGCACGATGCCCCGCACCTTGAGGTGCTTCAGGTTGTGGAACAGGTTGCGCTGATCGATCCCCAGCTCCTTCGAGAGCCGGTTCTGCAGCACGCCGGCCTCTCGCGCACGGCCCACGTGCTCCAGCACGCAGTACTGCGCCCCGTTCACCACCAGATCCGGCTGTTAACATGTCCACGACACACACGACACACGTACCACCGCACACGCACATGACATTAGATGAAGTTGTGGAAGATGGCGGTTGCGGTTGGTGCGGCGTACGTCGTGAATGCCGAGGACGCTCTCGCGGAGGGCCAGGGAGGCGACAGCGCGGATGGGCTGCTCCTCGGCCTCGCTCCGCGGCAAGCTCCCGACGTCGACGGGCGTGCGCGGCACGTCCACGATGCCCCGGTCCGTCCTGCCACGCGGGCGACACACCCCAACGCCACACATGCGCGCATCAGCGAGGTGAGGGCGGACGAAGCGAAAAAGAGGCCAAGTGTGGCACACACACACACAAGATGAAGTGGACGGCGGTGCGTGCATACCTTTGCTTGGCCTTGCTTGCGGAAGTAGTGGCGGCGGTGCTCGAGGCGGCCGAGAGCACAAAGAACTGGAGCTCCTCGCGACGGCGCAGCTCGAGCCACAACCGCTCCTTGAGGAGATCGTCGTGCAACTTCATGTGGGTCCACACCTCCCGCACCCCGCACCCTGGTTTTGTTTGCACACGCCACCACCCCACCACAACATGCCTCCTTCAGCGATGCGCCCCCTTTGAATTCCCCCTTTCATCGATGCACTCTCGCCCTCGGTCTGCAGCACGCAAAGAGGGGATGAGGAGCACCTGATAAGCCATCGAGGGCTATTTGCTCGAGAGCCGTCAGCACGAGCTCGTCCATCTGCGCTTGTGCAGGAAGCGGATTACGGGACTCGATCCACACACCAACGTACACCTGCTTTTCCCTTATCCTTTCTTGCCTTTTTCCTCTCTAACGGTTACTTCTTTTTATTGTTTTTCGCAAGAATGGAGCAGGTGGTCGCTGCACCCACTGAGGAGGGCGAGCGCCTTGAGGCGCCGGCTTCGTGCCACGACGAGGCGTGGGAAAAAGTGCGGGTCGTCAGTGCCATGGAGTTCTACAACCTCCTCATATCCCTTCGTACCACCGCCTCTCCATTGTATATTAATTCAATTATTCATTTCTTTTTTCATCAATTATTGATAATTGCATGGGGGGGCAGGGTATGCGGTGGTGGACCTGCGGGCAAGGGCCGAGTGGGAGGAGGGTCCCCGCATGGACATGGCCCAGCCCTACTGGCCGCACCACCACCACCACCACTTGGCGGAGGGCGGGAGCTGGCAGGACGCCTGGGGCTTCGAGAGCCAGGAGCGGGTGCTCCTCTACGCCACCACGCCCGCCGCCGCCACC